ACTCTAGACAGTGGCAGACACCTCAGGCTCTGCTGAGGTCTACACAGTGTATTAGGCCAGTGCTCCTTAGTTATACTCTATTTGCTTAGCTATGTAATACAGTATTTATACATATAAATATTTTCCAGGCTGGACATGGTTATGCATGCCTGTGATCTCAGCACTCAGGAAGTGAAGGAGGGGAGATCAAGAGTTCAAGGCCAGCCTCAGTGATTTAGTGAATTTAAGACCAATTTGGACTTTGTGAGAGTTTTAGGCACTGTGTTAAGTGTTAGATGCTGTCGCTTGATTGTGATGTTCAAACAGCTGCAAAGCAGCTTTCTCAAATGGACCACAGTTGAGCATCGGGTCATTCCCTTCAAACAGAGCATGTGCCTCCGCATCCCCTCCCTCCGTTTTACAGAGCCATTTCAGACCTTTCTTCATAATTTAAAGTGTATTTTGATCTCACAGTATATCATTATAGTGCTATGTAAATAATATGTCATATGTATACATTGTAATTGAAATGGTGGTGAACAGGAAGGTAGAGTAGTTCCGATGCTCTCCCAATCCTTTTTCCTATGTAATTAAATATTCATATACTATACTATATGAATACATTGTGGTTGTCTTCAAACATAATAGAAGATGGCATCAGATCTCATTACAGATGGCTGTAAGCTACCATGTGGTTGCTGGGAATTGAACTTAGGACTTCTGGGAGAGCAGTCAGTGCTCATAACTGCTGAGGCATCTCTCCAGCCCCCCTATATAGTTTTAAAGAAGTCTCTTAGATTGATGGAAATTAACTTACTTTAGAGAGAAGAGAAGGTACTTTAAAAGTTTAGCTAAGGAAACATTGAAGTATATTATAAATTAGAAATAGTAACAGTATCTGACTGTTCCCTCTCAGCACGTGTCCATTGTCCAGTGTTAACAGTTCACAGGTCCTGTCCATCTTTGGCTGCCATTAGCACCCATTCCACACCTCATGGCCACACTGTCTCCAACCTCCACATACACACATTCCCCCACTTTGAATATTTTCAGGAATTCAATTCTAAAGCTGGAGTGTTGGTGCACATTTGTAATCCAAGACTTGAAAAGCTGAGGCAGGAGAGAATCCTTTGATCTTAGGAGTTTAAGACTAGCCTGGGCAACTCAGCAAGGCCCTGAGTACTGAAGAAATACTGAAGAAATCCTCCATTTGTAAATATTTTGCTTTCTTTCTTAAAAATAAGGTTAAATCATATGTCACAATAAATTTATAATACTAAAGATTAACTTGTTATTATTAAATACCTAGTTTATCTTGAGAAACGAGAATACTTTAGGTAAGCACCCATTTCTCCTTTGATGTTCCCTTGGTTACCTGTAAAGGCAGAGGAAGCTACCATGCCAGACTCGAGGGGGGTGAGGAGTAGGGAGCGGTGTGGTGCAATGTTATTGCAGTTTCCCCATGAGCCCCTTCTGTGGGTGATGGAAGGTAGAGGCAGTACGCAGGATAGAGTTCTGAAGCTCAGAGACTCCTAGGCATATTTCTGCAGTCTGCAGCATGAGGTAGCCAGGGAGTCTCCCTTGGAGCATTCGGCTCACCAACACAAGGAAACAAAAAGCCAGTATGTGTGGAAGAAATTTTTACTAGAATTTTTCTGAAAATGTTGATACTGGTTTTATTTAAATTGCTAGCTTTAAGTGAATGAGGCATTTCAATTTTTAATTTATTTTTATTTTTTATAACTTTGTCCAGATAATTTTAATTTGAATGTGGTTTTACTGTGGAGAGCAGTTGACATGACTTCTTTTTAGGTAGTTTTCTATTTGAATGAGCTTTGCTGATTGACTCCCTGTTGATTTTTGTCATGGAAACTGAATTGGGAACATAAGGGCTTGAAGAGATGTGTGATTAGCTTTAAAAAAATTTGCTACTCACTAATTTTTGCTATTGATTTCATGTTTTATAGCAAAGTGATTTTCTAAAATACTTAACCACACTACTTTTGCCTTGCATGGAAATATTCTAATAAGCAATTACTAATTTTGTTCAATAGATAAAAGTCTGGGTCTTAATAGTTTGTTTATAACAGTTTTAAAACTTTAGTTTACAGTTCACTTTTTTATGATGTTCTTTCTTGTTCTTAGAATGTATCAACGCAAGCAACAAAATCTACAGATGCTGTTACTAGAGATGAATCATCCCCTTCTCAGGTTTGTTGTTTACTTACATATGTCAGTCCTTTGACAGTGGTGGCCTGTCTGTTGTTACTAGTGTGTGACTGCCTGAAAGGGTGCTGTCAGATGCTAAGTGGTAAAAGTCTTCCTCTGAGACTACCTCTTCGCTCGGGTAGGACGGTTACTCTTCCCATTTACAGAGGAAGGCATGTTGCAGAGGGACCCTTTTCCCACAACTTCCTCTCCCCATCTGTTTAAAACCACCCGCTCTGTGCCCCTTTACAAACACAGGTTGGCCTTCAGGAAATCACATCTCTCTTCTTGCATGTTCTATCATGAATGGTAGGTATACCAAAAAGTCCTAGCCTGAGGATTTTACAGTGTCTCTTATCAGCTCTGCTGAGTTACATAGAACCTAAGTTAAAGCAATATTAATCAAAAATTGATAGTATGAAACCTGAATATCTGTAGAAAACTGTGACATATTCACCCTACAAATAGACCTTTGTAATCAGGGCAGACAAAGTGGCTCAGCAGGTAAAGGTGTTTGCCACTAAGCCTGACAACTGAGTCTGATTCCTGGGACCCACTGGTGCAGGGAGGGAACTGGATCTCACAAATTGTCTTCTGACTTATGTGCTCTGTATCCTGGTATGCATAAATGAATGAATTTATAGATATAATAAATTAAAAACAACCCCCCCAAACCAGAAATTATTAGTGTTCTAAAGCCTTTAGCTTCGTCTGGTTCCTCACCTCATCCTCACAGTAAGCAGGTCACCACTGCTCTTTTTCTAGTACTGCACGTTATTCATGTAAAGTGTCAGC